TGCTTCCCATCTCCCCGCTGTGGTCTCTGCTCTTCTTCTTCATGCTGATCCTGCTGGGGCTGGGCACTCAGGTACAAGGTGTGGGACGTGGGCCAGAGGGTTGGGGAAGGGAGGGGACAGGAACAAGGGGCAGGTCCCCGATCTGACAGCCACATCTTACAGTTTTGCCTCCTGGAGACGCTGGTCACAGCCATTGTGGATGAGGTGGGGAATGAGTGGATCCTACAGAGAAAGACATATGTGACCTTGGGCGTGGCTGTGGCTGGCTTCCTGCTGGGCATCCCCCTCACCAGCCAGGTAAGAGCTGAGTAAGGGAAGGGCTGCGCCAGAGTTGCCAGGACGTGTGGGGAAGGTGGGGGAGCCCGGGCTGCAGGCGCCTCCCACAGCTGCCCGCTGTTCCCCAGGCAGGCATCTACTGGCTGCTGCTGATGGACAACTACGCGGCCAGCTTCTCCTTGGTGGTCATCTCCTGCATCATGTGTGTGGCCATCATGTACATCTACGGTGAGCACTTGAGCCTCCGGCCTTCCATGGCCTGGTCCCTGGCCCGCCCACTCTGTCCTGTGGGCCTGCTGACCCCCCTCTCTCCAGGGCACCGGAACTACTTCCAGGACATCCAGATGATGCTGGGATTCCCACCGCCCCTCTTCTTTCAGATCTGCTGGCGCTTCGTCTCTCCTGCCATCATCTTCGTGAGTTCCCTGGCCAGATCCTCCCACCCCCCCTGCCCTTTGGCCATATGTCCTTCTTTTGGGACCCAGCGAGGGGAGAGCAGAAACCCCTGCACCTGGTTGGAGCTCCACACCCATGACTCTGGAGGCTGAGGGAGGTTGGAGAGAGCTGGAGAGGCATGTGGAGACTCAGCGCCACCTGGGCCCTGGCCTCGGGTTAGGAGGGAGTGCCGCAGCCTGTATTTGACTGCAGACATTGCTTAGGCTTGGAGGGGGAAAGTGGCTGGTGGCAGCTCTCTCCCTGGCGTTCCTGCCTGGCACCCCTGAGTATCAGGAGTCAGTACTGATAGCGTGTCAGCCTCTGCCTGCTGGCCTCACTTCCCGTCCCTCTAGGGAGAGTGTTCCAGGGGCTTGGCAATGTGGTGGGAACCAGCATTCCAGCAGCAGCCCAAGGACAGTAGACCAGGCTGTAGGAGTCAGATGTCAGCTCTGCATGGTGGCAACTTTGCAAGCCTTCCAGGCAGTGAGGTGGGGTGGCTTGGGAGGGGGAGTTCCAGGTTTTATGAATATTCAACAGCTGAGAAACTCCCATCAGGGTGCCAAATTGGTGAAAAGAATCCACCATGGAAGGAAGCAGGCACTTTCCACACACCGTTCCCATGTAACCCATGATACAGCTCTCCTAGATGTCATTGTTATCCCCATTTTAAAGATGAGGAAACTGAGGCACAGAGATGTTAAGTAATTGGCCCATGGTCACACAGCTAATAAGAAGTAGAGCTGGCCAGGAGCAGTGGCTCACGCCTGTAATCCCAGCACTCTCAGAGGCCAAGGCGGGCGGATCATGAGGTCAGGAGTTCGAGACCATCCTGGCTAAAACGGTGGAACCCCGTCTCTACTAAAAATACAGTTAGCTGGGCGTGGTAGCACATGCTTGTAATCCTAGCTACTCTGGAGTCTGAGGCAGGAGAATCTCTTAAACCCAGGAGGCGGAGGTTGCAGTGAGCCAAGATCATGCCACTGCACTCCAGCCTGGGCGACGGAGCGAGACTCTGTCTCAAATAAAAAAACACAAACAAAAAAAGAAGTAGAGCCATGATTCAAATCAGGTAGTCCAATTTCAAGCCTGCACGCTGGGCCAGTGCCACACTAGAACCACCTCTGCAGGAGGGAGGAAGGGTCCAGGGGCTAAAACCATATGACTTGGCTCCTTCCTGTTTGGGATGGGATTCGGGGAAGGCAGGTATTGACAGTGGAATGGTCACTCCACAGAGGACAGGCAGGGCCACCTCTGAGTGACAGTCAGAGGGCTGGCCCAGTGGCCAGGGCAGTGTTCGGAGCCACACTCTTGTCATGTTCAATGCCTCGGTGGCACAGGGGGCTCAGCCCCAGACTTCCCCTGTGGCTCATGTTTCTGAATAAAGGCCTGTGGAGGGCTGGGGCCTCCCCTTATAGGGTATGGGATGTTCCCAAGCCTGGCACAGGCTCCCCCTCTGGCCACTGGCCCAGCTTTGAAACAGGAGGAGCGGAAGTCTCAGTGGTGGGAGGCTAGGGAGGGCAGGCACCACCACCGCAGAATGCCGTGACCTCTGGGGCTGTGGCCCGAGGGAAGCTCAGCCTTCTCGGCTCAGAGGGTCTCCCAGCATTCAGACGAGACTGACGTCCTGGGGAGAGACCAGGGGCACCTGCCAAGGGCAGTGGGGAGGAAGGAAACAAGCAAAGAAGGGTCTGTTGGGGCCTCAGCTGGGATCTGATCCACAAGATCGAGGCACAGTGGGCAGGCCCTTCCCATGCCCAGGAAGCAGGCCGGAGTTGCCTTTAGGGAAACCTAGAGTATTCCCTTTGGGGTAACTCCAGCCTGGCTTTCTGGGCTGTTGTGTTTTCTCTGGGGGCTTTCCTTGTTCATATTTCTGAAAAGCTCTTTTTGACAAACTCCACCATTCCGTCAGCTCAAATGAGGGATCTGTCCACACGGGGGTCAGGATCTGTTCCATTCGGGAAATCTATTATAGGCTCCCAGTGTGTGCAGCATCCCAGGGGGACCGTCCAGTTTGGATGTGGGTCTTGCATTCTAGAATATGGCCCTGTGCTCCAGGACGTGGCTGGGGGCTCAGGAGGAGGGTGCTGGGACACCCGCCCCCGCCCACCACCGCCTGCTTTCACTCCTTTTGTTGCTGCAGCCACGTTTGATTTCCAGTCTCACCCATCTCTTTCCAAAGACTCCCTAGAGCACCACGGCCTGACATTCACCATTTCCAGCCTGGGGAGCTTCCCTGGGCTGAATGTCACTATCCGCGGTAGTGACATTCAGAGGGTAGCTTCGCCCTACCCTCTTCCATCTTTCTCTGCCTGTCCGAACACATCAGTTCAAATCAACACAAGAGACTGTGCCAGGCACTGTAGTGGGCACTGCACACCCAGAGCTGATGCCATGCCAGGAGCTCTCAGGTCTATGGAAACATTAAAACCAGTAACTCTAAGGGAAGCAGATGGAAAATACCATGGAGAGGACCTGCAGAAGGAAATAGGGGAAATCTGGGATGGCTGCTTGAAGGAGAGGGCACTGGCATAGGGTTTGGCAGAGGAAGATGCAGAGGATGATTCCCCAGAATAAACGAAGAGAGGGTGGGAACACTGGGTGTGACTGAAATATCGAGGGCGGGATAGTGTGGCCAGCAGGACAATTTGAGGTCACACTGCCAGCTGACAGCCTAAAGGCCCAGGATGTGGCCTTACTTTAGTGGGCCACAGGGAGCCATAGCGAGTCTTTGAGCAGAGCTGACTGACTTCCAAAGGCAGTAGCTGCTTGACTGCTCTCGAGCCAGGTCAGGACTGTGGTGAAAACAGACTTCTCCTGCCAGTCTTCCCGCCCACAGTGCCCCAGGCCCCTGGCCCCACCCACTTCTTCCACGGCCCAGATGTTGACAGCTGTCTGTTCTGCCCAAATCCCCTTCTAGTTTGGGAACCAGAGAGGAAAGGGTGCTGGTGGAGGGCTGGCCTGGGGTCTGGGCTCTGGGCCGGCCTGATACCCACTCCCACCCCACCCCCATGCAGTTTATTCTAGTCTTCACTGTGATCCAGTACCGGCCGATCACCTACAACCACTACCAGTACCCAGGCTGGGCTGTGGCCATCGGCTTCCTCATGGCTCTGTCCTCCGTCCTCTGCATCCCCCTCTACGCCATATTCCGGCTCTGCCGCACAGACGGGGACACCCTCCTCCAGGTGAGGGCGGGGGCAGGCTGGGTAGCCAGGCAAAATGGGAGGGGCCTGCTGGAAGGGGCTTAAGGGCTCCCTCCTCACGTGCCCTGTCCCTGTGCCCCATGCCCACCTCATGCAGCGTTTGAAAAATGCCACAAAGCCAAGCAGAGACTGGGGCCCGGCCCTCCTGGAGCACCGGACTGGGCGCTATGCCCCCACCATAGCCCCTTCTCCTGAGGATGGCTTCGAGGTCCAGCCGCTGCACCCGGACAAGGCCCAGATCCCCATCGTGGGCAGTAACGGCTCCAGCCGCCTCCAGGACTCCCGGATATGAGCACAGCTGCCAGGGGAGTGGCCCTACCCCCACCCCGTGCTCCCACCGCAGAGACTGGTGAGGCAGAGGACACGTGTCTCTGTCTGCTCCCTGCCACGTCCTGGCCAGGATGGCTGCTGTCACCCTGGTCACCACTGCTAGTGCAGTCATTTGTGCTCGTGTCCCCAGTGTTTACACGTCCTCTGGATGCCAAGATGGCAGCTGGGGGTGGGGGCGGGGATGGAGGGTTGCTGGTAGGTCCAAAGCACTTTGGAGAGGTCTTGGGCCAGGTCCCCAGTGGCCTGAGGGACTTTACGTGGCCTCTGATACCCTTATACTCTGCCCTGAGCTGAGGTTCTGGATGGGCCCCCAGCTGTCTCCTTCCCGGGCCTCCAGCTCCATGACTAGCATTCCTGCCCTCACAGCAGACCCCAGCCTCTGCCAGGCACATTTGGCTCCTCCTCCTTAGGGGCAGGGTAAGGGCGGGGGCTGCAGTGTTACTCGTCAGGCTGTGCTGCCCAGCCCTGCTGATCTGTGTAATTATTTTTGTAAAAATTGTGTTGTCTGTGGTCGCCACCTCTTCACCCCAGCCTCTGGCCCAGTCTGTCTTCCAGGCCTGCCTGCACCTCACTGGGCTGCTCCAGGGCCTCTGCCCCTCATTCCAGCCCTGGCTGTCAGGCCCAGCCAGCAGAGGCCCGTGACCCAGCAGCCTGCCCAAAGCATTTGTTTCTGGGGCATGGGGCAGGGGCTGTTCCACAGGAGGTCTGAGCCCATCCCCCCAGGGAAGGGGAGCCTGCACACTCCCCTCACCCTCCCTCTACCAGGCTAAAGGCCCAGTCTTCCCAAATGTGCTGCCCTCATTCATGTGCCAAATGGCCACAGCCCACGTGCCCTTCCCCTCTCTGGAGCATGAGCTCCTTCTGAGGTGTCTGAAGCCCTGAAGTGTCCATTTGTCCGTCCTCTGTGCAGTGACAGCCCCAGCCACGCCACCTCTGATCCTCTGTAGCAATAACGGTGCACTGCCCATCCCTGCCCATCGTGCACCACTAGCATTTTAAAGTCCATAGATTTTAATGAAATTTCTATTCCTGTCTCTGAGTGGCTGCTGTGTTTTGTCTGGGTCCCCCAGGGGACAAGAGTCAGGCTGGAATGGAACCTCTGTCTTCCAGGCCTTTGTGGAGGCTTGGGAGGAGAAAGGCCAAAGGCTTTGATGATTGGGAGAGATGCCGGGCCATCAGCTCCAGACACCAAGGATCTGAGAGGGTAGGGCAAGGGCCAGACAGATGAACAGCCTTGGGGTCCTGGCGAGAGCTCATCCAAGACCAGATCTGAAGCTGGCTGGGCCAAGGCAGCTGAGGTGGCAGCGGCAGATGGGCACGTCCTGGCATAAGCTGGAGCCCACTTGGTGACCAGCCCTTCAGGCTGGGGCCTGGGGTGCTGCGCTGGATGTGGGCGTGGAAACTGGCCTTTCCCTGGGGCTGTACTGAAGCTGCCGTCCCCAGCGGTGGATGGCTGCCTGGCCTCGAGGTCGAGGGCAGCGCTCCAGAGGAGGTGCAGGCAGGTGGCACTGGAGAGGGGCAGCCCGAACTCTAGCAGCCCCGCAGAGGCAAGGCAGGGGGCTGAGGCCCTGCATGGAGGACCCCAAGGGCCGCTGCCTGGACAGGAAGGAGTAACTGTTGGGGGTGGTGGTCTGATCTTTCAGTCCTCTCTGCCCCGTGTCTACTGCTGTGGTTTACCTGCGGTTGGGAGACACGTGAGAAGGCCTCACAGATACCCACAGCTCCTGCTCCATGGCCTTCTTCTGTTCCCTTAGCTCTGAAAGAGAGATTCAGCTAAGACTGCCCAGCTCTTCTAGGGTGTGTACAAGTATGGGGCGGGAGCAGGAGGCGTGGTGTTCTGAGGCCTGCTCTGTGTCCTCACCTGCCAGGGTGGGCTCCAAGGCTGCCTCAGAGGGGTGGCAAGGCCTCATATACTCCTCTTCCAGGCAACGCTGCAGGGAGAGCTGCATCAGTGCCCAGACTCAAGGCGGATGGGGCAAAGCAGCGATCCCCAGGGCAGGCCCATCCAGCCCCTTCAGCCCATCCACCGTGAGGGCAGCCCTGTTCTTGAGGGAACACCAGCCCTACGGAAGAGCTGAGTTTGGCAAGACAGTGGTTGGGCCTGTACCCAGACTTAGGTAAAGGAAGGAGGCAAAAGACCTGGGTGGGGCCAATCCAATAAGTTAACCTAAAACGGTTGGCCCTGGCCTTAAGGGCTCACCTAGAATCCTGGCCCTCTAGGATTTTGGAAGTGCACACGAGCGCACACCCATGAGAAATGGACACAGGACTCATACCGCCTGTACATGAATCTGTGTACGCACAAGGTACATAGATCTCACCCAGGTGAGAAGCGTGAGTGTCTATGCTCAGCAGTGAGGCTTGGGGCAGGGCCCAGGGCTGCAGCTCACCTGCAGGATGGGGATCTCCCTCTCCAAGGTGTGACACTCCTCCTCCAGAAGGCCCCTGGGACATGAGGGAGCAGCAGCCAGAACCCGAGACACAGGACCAGGGCTCAGCTGAGTCCACCACAAGGTCCCAACCTGCAGCCTCAGCAGGAGCCCCACCCAGCCCCATCCTTCCTCAGCCCATACTGCCCTCTGACTTCTGGCCCCTGCCAGGCTTTCTGAGCAGGAAGTGTCTTCTCGCCTGCCTCACCCTGGCAGGCATCCTTCTCTCTTTCACACTTCTGCACTGTGATTCTTCCTGCCTCCATCTTCCCTCACTTCCACTGCTTAAAATCCTCCGGGGCTACCCCCTGTGTCAGGATATTTTTATTTATTTTTGAGTCAGGGTCTTGCTCTGCCACCCATCGTGATTCACTGTAGCCTTGCCCTCCCGGGCTCAATCAATCCTCTCTCACCTCAGCCTCCCAAGTAGCTGGTACAGGCGTGCACCATCATGCCCAACTAATTTTTGTATTTGTTTTGGTAGAGATGGGGTTTTGCCATGTTGCCCAAGCTGGTCTCGAACTCCTGGGCCCAAGTGATCCTCTTGCCCCGGCCTCCCAGATTGCTGGGATTCTAGGCATGCATCACCATGCTTGGCCACGGCATCTGTACCTGGCTGCTTACCAAGAGCAACCTCGGGCCGGGCGCGGTGGCTCAAGCCTGTAATCCCAGCACTTTGGGAGGCCGAGGCGCGTGGATCACAAGGTCAAGAGATCGAGATCATCCTGGTCAACATGGTGAAACCCCGTCTCTACTAAAACTACAAAAAATTAGCTGGGCATGGTGGCGCGTGTCTGTAGTCCCAGCTACTCAGGAGGCTGAGGCAGGAGAATTGCCTGAACCCAGGAGGCGGAGGTTGCGGTGAGCCGAGATCGCGCCATTGCACTCCAGCCTGGGCAACAAGAGTGAAACTCCGTCTCAAAAAAAAAAAAAAAAAAAAAAAAAAGAGCAACCTCACTAGCTCTGCAGCAGCCAGCGCTTTCCACCTCTCAGCCTTACGCACATGGGTCTCCCTGCCAGGTGTACTACCCTCCTCCTCTTTCACAATCCCAGCACCTCAAGATCCATCCCTGCTTCCACCCCTGCCTACACACACGCAGGTGCCCCTGGGCCTCACCTCAGGTGTCTGGCCACCTGGTCAATGTTGGACACGTTCAGTTGGTCCTTGATGATGCTGAGGTCTCTGTGACTGCTGCAGGCAGTGAAGTCAACATCATTCTCCCCATGTTGCTCACCCCAGGCCTTCAGAACCCAACATCACTTCTCCTAGACAACTGTTTCTTTTCTCATAAAGGCAATATAATACAGTGCAAAGAGTAAGAGTTTGGGAACTTAGGTTTGCAAATGAGCTCTGCCACCCTTCGTTGTGTGTGACTTCAGGCAAATCACTTATCCCTTCTGAGCTTTAGTTTCTTCTTTTTCATTTGTCTTTTTTTTCTTTTTTAAGCCAGTCAAATTTAGCAGTGGGGGGTTGTATACCAAATAGTGACACTAATGTTAATAAGTTCTGATAACCCACTACCATCGGACCAGCCTTTTTTTTTTTTTTTTTTTAGACAACATCTTGCTCTGTTGCCCAGGTTGAGTGCAGTGGTACCATCTTGGCTCACTGCAGCCTCGACCTCCTGGGCTTAAGTGCTCTTGCCACATCAGCCTCCTGAGTAGCTGGGACTACAGGTGCACATAACCACACCCGTTTAATTTTTTTGCACAGACGGGATCTCACTATGTTGCCCAAGGTTTTTTTTTTCTTTTGAGACAGGGTCTCTGTCACCCAGGTTGGAGTACACAGGTGCGATCATAGCTCACTGCAGCCCCGAATTCCTGAGCTCAAGCAATTATCCTACCTTAGCCTCCCAAGTAGCTGGGAATACATGTGTGTACCATCACACCTGGCTATTTGTTTTTTCACTTTTTGTAGAGATGGGGTCTCCCTATGTTACCCAGGCTGATCTCAAACTCCTGGCCTCAAGCCATCCTCCCACATCAGCTTCCTAACGTGCTGGGATTACAGGCATGAGCCACTGTGCCTGGCCTTTAATTTCTTCTTGTGCAAAATGGAGACTTTGCCCACCTCCTCAGGCTGTGTGAGGATCAGAATAAGAATAAGAAGTTGCTGCCATCCACTCATGAACATTTATCTCACTCAGTCCCAGCTACAAATGTAAATACCATTTGTAGCCCTCCCCTTCAGCTCTCCCTGCCTCCCTAGCCCAGCCCTCACTCCTGTTCTCTAGGCCAGAGGAACAACTGCCTGCTGGACATGGCCTCCTTTCTTCCTTCTTCCTACAAAGCTCTTCTCTCTTTCATCTCCCTGAAAACTGCTCCTCATACTACAACACACAGATCAAACCACTTTCTCCAGGAAGCTTTGCCTGTCTCCAGGCTAGGCAGGTGTCTCCTCTGGGTTTCAGTAGCCCTCATGTGCAGATCTTTATCACAAGTGGCTGTGAAAGTCTCCAGCCCTTGACTGGAATCTCCTCCATGGAGCCAGGTGCAACCCACCAGTTGCCTGGGGCCCTCTGCCAAGCAGGGACAGGTCCCTCTCTCCTACCATCAGTTTACCTGGGCACACCACCTCTCATCTGGAATACCTCCTGTTCTGGCAAATCACACCTGGGCTCCTCCAAGGCAAAGCGCAGGACCCTGGGGCTATACTTGACCCAAGCTTGGGCCTGATCCCTGCAGAAAGTGCACAGGAAGGAAGGTGGGAGGCTTCTTTCCGGAAACTACAGAAAAGGCAACCCTGGCTCCTTGTTAGGGGCAGGGCTAGCCCACCTGATGTCTGGGGAAGGGGGTCCAGGCCTGAGGTTCTCACCTGCCCTCAAAGATCGCTTTGTGGCGGAGACCCTGGAGCAACTGCCGGAGTTCCTGGCGCACGAGGTCCTTTAGGAGAGGCGGTGGTGCCAGAAGAGAAGAGGGGTCAGAGATGGGGCGGGAGCTGGGGGCTTGAGAGGATCGAGCCTCTTGGAGCAGTGCCCGTAACATCGCCACCTGCAAGGAGAGCTGGGATACCTTGCGACTGGGAAGAGGGTGACCGGAATGGTGGGGGCTAGAGGAATGAGGGGGACGGCGGAGTCAAACGAGAGAGGGCCAGGACAGTGAGACCCGATAGGATCTCGGGAGTTACCCAGCAGGGCCAGGGATCCGCAGGAGGTGGGAAATCACCGAGTCTTGGTGCAGGCCAGGGGCGTGGCCCACCTTCCCTCTCCCCACCTCCGCCCGCAGCTCCAGGCTAAGGTCCACCGCCGCCTCCCCCAGAATGCTCTTCACTTCAGGTCGCTCCTGGAGTGGAACGTGCTCCTCCACCAGCTCCCACAGCGATGGGGAGTGCCGGAGCATGGCCCACCCGCGCCGCCGTCCCCGACTCAGACCTACGGGGCCGCAGATCAGAGTGCTGGAAGAACCGCGGACCCGCCAGCCACGCCCACCAAGCTCCGCCCCTCCACGGCCCCGCCCCCTCCCAAGTCCCACTCAAGCTCTGCCGCAGGTCCCCTCGGCTGGGATTACCCCATCCAGCGCCGCCAGTCCTGGGCGCTCTCTTCTACCCGGCTTTTGGCCGACTGGGAGGCCTCGGACCCAGAAGCCGGGCAGTGGGAACCAGGAACCTATCCCCACCTCTCCTGCGTGGCCATCACCCGGGAAACCACGCTGCGACTCTAGGCCCCGCCCCCTCCCGCGCTCAGTCCGGCCAGTGGCGCGTGCTGGCTGGGATTTCAGACTCACCGCGTTGCTCCACCGAGGCCTGACCCCAAGCGCCTTGGGCTCGGCCCTGGGCACCTTTAGTCCTCAGGGAACGTATTAAGACCTGAGAAATCTGCGCCTCCTGGTTTGTTACTTCGTCGCCTCCACTAGCCCGGAGGCAGTGCAAGGACAAACTTCCCCTTAAGGCCGGTGGAAGCCTAGGGAGTGGCAACGCTTGGAGAACCCGGACGGCACGGGTCAGGTTTACTTGGGCAAAATACCCCAAGCACCCTTCCACCACAAAACACCCAGGGTAACCATGTTCAGGGACCCGACCCCCACCCCCAGACAGACAAGGGAGCTGCTCCATTCACGTTTTTTACTAAAGCACCCACACAAGTTTCTGTGCAATGTACAAACATGAGCCGGCCCTGGGGCTCCTGCCTCCTCTCTGAGACAGGGAGGCGGGAACCAGACTTACTGATCCAAGCCCCACACGCCTCCCATGCAAAGGCCAAACCCAAGATCCCAGGCAGCGACACAGCATCCCCTCTGGTCCCCTCCTGGGGCTGCTCCTCATCAGGGGGCGCACCAAAGCTTGCCCCCTGCAATGTTGAATGAAAAAGGTTTCCCCTCCCCTGGGAGCAAGGGGGTTCCCAAGATCTGAGAATTCCCCCTGGAAGAGACACTGCCCCCTAGACATACCTCCCACCCTTCCAGGCCCTAGGGGACTCAAGGGGGGGAAACTGAGGCACAGAGAGGTAGAGTGACCTAGCCCAGGCCACTCCGCGAGGCAGTGCAGGGGCTGGCCCGACCCTGACAGTGACTGGGGCTGGGCTAGGGGGAGGGGATCAGGAAGGAGGGTTGACTCCAAAGAGGGCCACACTTGAAGAGCCTGCCCAGGCAGGAGGCCCCTCAAAGTGGGTTCTGAAACTTCCAGGTGTAGCTAGGAGGCCTACTGAAGACCCTCAGAAAACAGAGCCCACAGTCTCAGTCCTGGAGGTCCTCCACAGAGCAGCTGCCAGCCAGGCTGTGGTCAGTCCTCTGGCAGGCAATCCTCGGCACCAAGAGCCTCTGTCCATTGGTGTCAGCCCCGAGGGGGCCATGACGGGGGCCGCCCAATGTCCACTGTGATATTGGTGAAGAGTGGTTGCCGAGACACCTCCAAAACCTGGTACCGCACGGACCCAATGCCATCCCGCTTCATGGTCAGCTTCGTGTTTTGAATCTTGGTAAACCTAGATAGGAAGGAAATGGTCTGTATCAGAGCACTGTAAACTAAATATAAAATCCTACACCCCCCAACCAACTAAATGGACCCCCTGTTGGCCAAGGGGACCCCAGAGAAACTTTAAAAACAGAGTTTCCAGCCATGATGGGAAGGGACGTCAAACATGCCTTGTTATTCCCACACCCTTCTGCAATTTAGACACAACAAATGACCAGCATTAATGTCAGAGATCACAAAACTGACAGAAGGCATTCTTTGTGTCAATAAGACACCTAATTATAAATAGGACCTAAAGCCACGCCAGGCAAGGGTTAAGTCATGCACCCCTGCACTTAACAGGCTATGCTCTAACTGCCACAAGGGTTTTCTTTTTCTGTGGCAGCTAAACAAGTACTGGACTTGAGATAACCAATATTAAAACAACTTGCACAATGTGGTAATATATTAAAGCTAAAAATAATAGGGAAAAAAAACAATTTGCAGCTCACCCACTGCCAGACAGATGCTGACCCCTCTGCCCCTGTTCTCCAAGCCATAACTATAGCTTTGGTGGGACAAGAGACTGATATCAATAACCTTCAGTCCATCTACCATGGACTGGTTCTAGCCAGTTTACGGAGGCTGCACACTTGAGTGCTTCTGTCTTTTTGACAGACAGGGCCTAATGGCCTAACTGCAATATATTTAAATATTAAGCCTCCACCCTAAGGTGAACAAAGGTGGTATAAAACATGCATATCTGTTCAATATGCGTATGTCAGGACCCCTTCCATGAATATTCATAGCTCCTCTGATAATCTGTTGACCAATCCATTCAACTAAAATTCCTATCTTACTCCTCTGTCCCTCAAAGTGCCTGTTAAGGCTTTGGCTTGAGGCTCTTCTTCCAAGTCAGTGGGATGGCCAGTCTGCAGGTTGTAACCCTTTATAAAGGAGAAATAAAATATCCTTTTCAAAGTTATTGATCCAGTTTTTTTTTTTTTTTTTT